GTGCTGGCAGAGGGAGCCAAGTTAGAACCAGCTTTTCCAAGCGGGCCAGGAAACCCTTCTGGCCTTTGCAGGGCACATTCCGTGTCGTTTTCCCCCCACCACCCACCCACCCACTTCAAGGGCCCCCTCAGACAATCACACCAGCCCTCCCTCCCCCTCCCCGGCTTTCTGCAGTTGACTTTGGAGTCAGCGCCCAGCTGGACCGCACGGTCGGGCGTCGGAACACATTCATCGGCACCCCTTACTGGATGGCCCCGGAGGTGATCGCCTGCGACGAAAACCCGGATGCCACGTACGACTACAGAGTAGGTCTCCGGGAAACCTACTGCGGGGGCGGGGGGGGTGGGGCTGGTCTTGCAGGTCAGAGAGGCGGGGGGGGGGGGGGTGGGGATTGAGGAGACTAAGGAGGAGTTGGAGTCGAGGGTCTCTCTCCACTCCAGGAGCCAGTTGGAGCAGGCCTGACACCACCTCTCCCTCCTTTCCCTCTTCCTCTGCAGAGTGACATCTGGTCCCTGGGGATCACGGCCATCGAGATGGCCGAAGGAGCCCCCCGTGAGTGTCCGCCGCAGCGTCTCGGGGGCCCTCGCTTCTCTCTCGGGGAGGGATGGGGCCACCCGTCGACCCCCCGGCTCGGCTCACCTCTTCCCCCCCCCTCTTGCAGCCCTGTGCGACATGCACCCCATGCGGGCGCTTTTCCTGATCCCGCGCAATCCGCCCCCCAAGCTGAAGTCCAAGAAATGGTACGTCCTCCCTGCGGGGGCTTTAAAGAGGCGACAAGGGATGGGGCGGGGGGGGGGGGAGGACTTGGTCCCAGGGTTGCCAGATCGCAGCTTGGCTCTGCGGCCAAACTCAAGTCAAAATACGGCCCAATTCGGCCCAATTATTTTCTCTCACGGCCAAATTTTTTTTATGCAATATGACATGAGGATATATTGTTTTTTTGTTTTGTATTTTTAACTGTTTTTAAATAATCAAATCATTAAAAAATAGTCTTTATTCGACAACGTCATGGGAATTTCTGCGTTTCTTTACTCCCATCCAGGCTAGGCAGCTCACTTTAAATAACCGCTACTACCGTTTGGAAAGCTCAGGGCCCAAATGCAGCGATCCTGAGGAGGGCATGAGGGTCTTTAGGGGGATTCCCCTCCCCCCATTGAAAAAATATAATCACTAAACAAAATGACACCAAAAAAAAAAATAGCAATTATATATAGAATCCTTATGAAAACGGAATGCTCCTTTCAAAAAGAGAGGAATTATCCCCAATAATTACATGGAAATAATAACTCGGTCGCACATCCGGGATTTTTCCGTGACGCCGCGCGCCGGCTGGCGAGAAAACAATCCCAATACTGAGATGTTTACATCCGGGTTAACATCCGCTTATATTACGCAGCGCGGTTCACAGTCAGAAGGCTTCGGCCTGTGTATCGCGTCGTTTTCCAGGGGTTTTCAGACCATCCGACAGTCGTTTTCATGCGAATATATTGTCTTGAAAACCGGCATTCGGCCAAAATGTCGATTTCACGACCAAGCAACTTTCATACGGCCAAAATATATTTGGCCGGAGACATGATTATTTTTTCACGGCCAAACGGATTTCTATACGGCCAGATTTCTCGAATTTGGCGGGAAAAAACGGCCAGATGGCAACCCTGCTTGGTCCTGTCTAAGATGGCAGTCCCTGCTTTTCTTCCTTCTGAAGTGGGTGAGGGAGGATACGTGGCGGGGGGAGGCTTCTCCCGTAACGGCTCCCATCTCGGGGTCTGGCCGAAGTCACCATGCCTGCTGGAGAGCTAGCTCTCAGGCAGTGAGAACGGCCGAGTTGGGCTTACGGGTGAGCGGCCTCCCTCGCTTGGGGCCTTCCCCTTGGGGTGGGGAGGAGCAGTGTAACCCCAGCCCCTCCCTCCCGCTCTGGCCCAGGTCCAAGAAATTCATCGACTTCATTGACAACTGCCTGATCAAAGCCTACCCCAACCGGCCGCCCACCGAGCAGCTGCTCAAGTTCCCCTTCATCCGTGACCAGCCCACCGAGCGGCAGGTCCGTATCCAGCTGAAGGACCACATCGACCGCACCCGCAAGAAGAGAGGGGAGAAGGGTAAGCGGGGAGGGGGGGGGTGCGGCTCTGGGTCACGGGTCGGCCGGCCGGCCGGGCAGGGAATGCCTGGTTCTGCCCTGCACTGGCCCGCCCTCTTGGTCTTCCTTCCCGTCAGACGAGACCGAGTACGAGTACAGCGGCAGCGAGGAAGAGGACGACGGACGCGGCGAGGAAGGAGAGCCGAGGTACGGAGGGGCAGAGGGGTGGGTTCCGCTCCGCCTGACCCTTCCCTGGTGCCCCTTGGCAGCCAGCCGAGCCCCCCCCTCCCCCTGGGCCCCCCCTCCCCCCCCCCAGCTCCATCATGAACGTCCCCGGGGAGTCCACCCTGCGGCGGGAATTCCTCCGCCTGCAGCAGGAGAACAAGAGCAACTCGGAGGCCCTGAAGCTGCAGCAGCAGCTGGCCGCCCAGCACCGCGACTCCGAGGCCCACATCAAGCACCTTCTGCACCAGCGCCAGCGCCGCATTGAGGAGCAGAAGGAGGAGCGCCGGCGAGTGGAAGAGGTGAGCAGACCGAGATCTAGCAGGATGGCGGGGGGGAAAAAAGTCTGGAATCCGAATTATACGTTAACAAGATCGTCGGCCTATACAGAAAACATCCGTACGATGTTCTACCGGTGGCACCCGTTATGTACAGAATAACCCTTGAGTAACAAGGATATGCACATAGAAATGTTTATGAGAGTAAACAGATACACACAGATACACTAAATTGAGTTAAAAGTTTTACTTTAAGAAAAAGCACAGTCCAATAAACGGTCCAGGTCATGTACGTTTTACAGTCCAAAGAATATCCAACTACAAAGTCTTCTTACCAGTTGCCTTTGTCATTTCCAGTAAACAAAAATATCAAACTATAAGCACAGCATAAATACAACAGATAGCAACAGAATGTCAGAGAGATAGAGAGAAAATATCAGAACAAGCCATGATCTCTAGCTCCCTCTTATGGTAATTTGCAATATAATCCATCGGAATATAATATAAATCAATACAGTGATTTTGTCTGAAAGCTACAAACCTACATTGTTGGTTTATATATTTGCCGACCCAACTAATTGGTGGACAGGTTCCTAACAGCACCTGCCTCCAATGAGATTAGCTACAATGCATCCCAACATGAAGCCAGCATGCTGGAAGGGTTAAAAAAAAGGCACAAGGCACTTTCTACCCCATGTGGTGGTCCTGCCCCGTAGCCCAAAGATAACTGGATTAAAATTAGGCACTGGTTACAAGAAATAGTAAAAGAACCAATAGAATTTGAACCCGAGGTATTCATGTTGGGAACATTTAAAAAGAAATACAAGGAAAAGATGGAATCTATTTTATGACATTTATTGAAGAAGAATGTGCACAATGTTGGAAGCATAACAGCGTTCGGATGAATTGGTCATTCCAAATGGATAGAGTGACTCTAAAATTAAAAGAGAAAGAAGAGTCGGACTGTCACGAAATTTGGGGTATGTGGTATAATTGGCTGGAAAATAGGAAATAAAGATAAGACAAGACTAGATAAATGTATATAACTGTACAGTATTATATATTAAATGTTCATAAGAGATGGATATGTATAACGATTGTGCTGTTCAGACAGTATATGGTTAATTGGGAATTGAGATTGTTAAGGGAATGCCTCATGGGAAATGTAAATGCCTCATGGGAAATGTAGTTCATGTCATGTGCTCACATCTGTCATCCTGATTGGTCACTGAACTGACCCTTGGTTGGGTTGGAGTTTCCTTCGCTCTTGCTTGGACCCCAGCCTCGTGCTGGTATCTGCACCCTTTGCTCCATCGTTATGGGATGAAGATCATTATAATTTCACACTTATGAAGTCAGCTATGCAAAGAGTTGGACGTTAGATGAATCTCGACATCACTGTGAGTTATACCTTGAGGATGCCTAAGATCATCCAATCAGGAAACACTGTATTGGAAGCCTTGGTAGCGTTTTAACTGACCGTCTCTATATTCAGCCAGCCGTTGAGAGACAGAACGGTGAAAGTGTAGTGATCTCCATCCCATAACGATGGAGCAAAGGCCGTGATAACCAGCACAAGGTTGGGGTCCAAGCAGGTGTAAAGGAAACGGCCCCAACAATGATGCTCCAGTGCTGTTTTAAGGTTGTGATCGAGTTTTTTAAGGTGTAAAAGAACAAGATAGATACATAAATAGATAGATAGGTGATAGATGATTGATATATAGATATAGAGGAGACAGATAGATAGATAGATAGATAGATAGATAGATAGATAGATAGATAGATAGGAGATAGATAGGAGATAGATAGGTGATGGATGATAGATTAATAGATGATTGATATAGATATATACGATAGATATAGATGGAAAGATATAGATGATAGACTAGATAGATAGATAGGTGATAGATGATACATTGATAGATGATATATAGATTAGATAGATAGATAGGATATAGATGGAAAGATATAGATGATAGATGATTAGATAGATAGATAGATAGATAGATAGATGATAGATAGGTGATAGATAGGTGATAGATTGATAGATAATTGATATATAGAGATAGATAGATAGATAGATAGATAGATAGATAGATAGATAGATGATAGATAGATAGATGATAGATAGATAGATAGGTGATAGATAGGTGATAGATGATAGATTGATAGATGATTGATATAGAGAATAGATATAGATTGAAAGATATAGATGATAGACAAGATAGATAGATAGACAGATAGATAGGATATAGATAGGTGATAGATGATTGATTGATATAGAGGATAGATAGATATAAATGATAGATGATAGACTAAATAAATGATAGATGATAGATAGATAGATAGTATATAGATAGGTGATAGATGATTGATAGATGATTGATATATAGATATAGAGGATAGAGATAGATAGATAGGTGATAGATATAGATTGAAAGATATAGATGATAGACAGATAGATAGGTGATAGATATAGATATAGATTGATATAGATATAGAGGATAGATAGATATAGATGATAGACTATAAATAAATGATGATAGATAGATAGGATATAGATAGGATATAGATAGGTGATAGATGATAAATTGATAGATGATTGATATAGATAGAAAGAAAGGTCAGAGCCTCCTGGCTGGGCCAGTCCACACACACACACACACACACACAGACCCCGGGCCGTCTCAGGTTTGGCCTTGGTGGTGCCCGGAGCCCACCTGGCCCTCCACACCCACTCACCCTGCCCTCTTCCCCGCTTGTCCGTCCGCAGCAGCAGCGCCGAGAGCGGGAGCAGCGGAAGCTGCAGGGCAAGGAGCACCAGCGGCGGCTGGAGGACCTGCAAGTGATGCGCCGGGAAGAGGAGCGCAGGCAGGCGGAGCGGGAGCAGGTGGGGCGTCCGCAGCGCGTGTAGGGGGAGGGATCCCCGGTGGGTGACCCTTTCCTGCTTTCCTTGCGTGAAGGCAGTTGGCAGGCTGGGGGGGTGGGGCATTTGGGGTGTTCTTGGGAGGGGGGGTTTCTACTGCTGCCCCTCCCTCACCGGGACCTCCTCCCCTCCCTCCCCCCCCCCCAGGAATACATCAGGCACAAGCTGGAGGAGGAGCAGAGGCAGCTGGAGATCTTGCAGCAGCAGCTCCTGCAGGAACAGGCCCTGCTGCTGGTGAGGCAGGAGCGGGAGGCGGGGGGGAGGGGGGTCCCGTTGGGAAACTACCAACCCCCCCCCCCCTCCAAGTCCCAGCGGCTTCCCTCCTCCCCCCGCAGGAGTATAAGCGGAAGCAGCTGGAGGAGCAGCGGCAGTCGGAGCGGCTGCAGCGGCAGCTCCAACAGGAGCACGCCTACCTCAAGTCCCTACAGCAGCAGCAGCAGCAGCCGCCGCCGCCGAAGCCCCTCTACCACCACGGCCGCGGCAGTGCAGCCGCCGCCGAGAAGCCCCCCTGGGCCCGCGAGGTACCCCTCACCCCGGGGCCCTTTCCCTGGCGGGGAGGGAAGGAGGGAGGGAGGGCGCCGAGGATCAGCTGAGTGTCGCCCCTCCCCCCCCCAGGGGGGGGAGCGAGCCAACAAGGAGAGCTCCCCCTCGCTGGCGGCCAAGGCCAAGCTGGGAGCCCCCGGGCCAGACGCCGCTGCCCCCCAGCCCTGCGCGGAGCCGGGCTCCCTCGCCTCGTCCTCGCAGACGCCCCCCATGCAACGCCCCGTCGAGCCCCAGGAGGGGCAGCACAAGGTGGGCCCCCCTCCCTTGCCCTCCCTCCCCTCCCCACCCCACCTGCTCTCCTTCCCCTTCCGCCCGCGCATCCCAGCTGCTTCCTCCCATCGGCTGCTTCTCCCATCGGCCTGCCCCTTGGAGGCTGCGGAGCCCCGTGTCCCCCTCCCGAGGGGCCCCGAGAGAGGGAGTAGTGGGGCCCTTGGGCGGCGGGACCCCAGGGCTGGGGAGGCACACCCCCTCCTCCCGCCCCGGGGAGCCGGATTTTCCCCCCCTCCGTGACGCCCACGCACGGCCTCTGCCTCCCTCCACAGAGCCACCTGGCCCACCGCGTCCCGCTCAAACCCTACGCCGCCCCTGTCCCTCGCTCCCAGTCGCTGCAGGACCAGCCCGGCAAGAACATGGCTGCCTTCCCTGTCCATGACTCCGCCTCCTCCTCCTCCTCCTCCTCCTCCTCCTCTGCCCCACCCCCTCCTCGCGGGGCCATGATCCGGCAGAACTCCGACCCCACCTCCGAGGGGCCGGTCCCACCGCCCTCCCGACCCAGTCCGGACCAGCGTGGACCTTGGGTCAAAATGGACCCCAATGGACCCCCCCAGGTAATCCACGGGAGGGGGGAGGAAAGGTGGGGCTCGGGAGGATGGGCAGCCGGGGTGAAGACTCCACCGTGAGGCCACCCAGCACACCCCCCCTACTTCCCCTGTTCTGCGGGCCCAGGGACCCCTTCCTGCCGCCTGGCCCAGGTTGGGTTCGAGACCCTGGTGGTTGCAGCGCGAAGGGGCATCCAGGCAGGATCCTTCCCCTAGGCGGAGACCCCTCTCCTCAAATCCTTTGCAAGGGGGGTGGTGGTCTTCAGCCTCACCCTCTCCTTCCCCCCCCCCCCCCCAGGTTCCCCAGCGGACGTCCTCCATAGCAACTGCCCTCAACACCAGCGGAGTAACCGGTGGGGGGAGCAGCAGCGGCACCCGGCCGGCCCACGCTGTCCGAGCCAGGTGGGTACCCTGCCCCCTGAGAGCTGCCTACTTCGGGGAGTGGGAGAGGACACCGCCAGACTCTCCTCCTCCTCCTCCCCCTTGTCTGGGCAGTGGCCGTGCCCCGAATGCCCACCACGCCAGGGAGACGGGGTGTCCCTGCCCTCCCCTGTCCAGGCGGTGGGAGAAAGTTGGGCTGGGTCAGAGAGCTCTGTTATGTACAGAATAACCCTTGAGTAACAAGGAAACGTTTATGAGAGTAGTTACGAATAACTATTCAGCCACACATAGAAACACTAAATTGAGTTAAAAGTTTACTTTAAGAACTAGCACAGTCCAATAAACGGTCCAGCTCATGTACGTTTAACAGTCCAAAGAATATCCAACTACAAAGTCTTCTTACCAGTTGCCTTTGTCCTTTCCAGTAAACCAAGATATCAAAGTAAACAAAGAATATCCAATTACAAAGTCTTCTTACCAGTTGCCTTTGTCCTTTCCAGTAAACCAAGATATCAAAGTAAACAACGAATATCCAATTACAAAGTCTTCTTACCAGTTGCCTTTGTCCTTTCCAGTAAACAAAGATATCAAAGTAAACAAAGATATCCAATGACAAAGTCTTCTTACCAGTTGCCTTTGTCCTTTCCAGTAAACCAAGATATCAAAGTAAACAAAGAATATCCAATTACAAAGTCTTCTTACCAGTTGCCTTTGTCGTTTCCAGTAAACCAATATATCATAGTAAACAAAGATATCCAATTACAAAGTCTTCTTACCAGTTGCCTTTGTCCTTTCCAGTAAACCAAGCTACCAAAGTATAAAGACAACAGATAGCAACAGAACGTCAGAGAGACAGAACGTCAGAGAGAGCAAGCCTAGATCTCTAGCTCCCTCTTGTGGTCATTCGCAATATAATCAACCCATCGGAATATAGTCTAGATCAATACAGTGATTTTTGTCTTAAAGCTACAAACATAACATTGTTGGCTTAGATATTGCCGACCCAACTCATTGGCGGACAGATTCCTAACAAGGTCTAAAGGCCCGTTTGTGGGCCGGCAACTGGCATCGGGTGGCCGAGGAGGGGAAAAGGGCAGACTTGGCCCCAGGAAGAGCCAAGTCTTCAGTGCCAGGCGGCATCCTCTGCCGCTCCCCTTCCGGCCAGGCCCCCTGACGCCCCCGTCTGCTCCCTCCCCTCCACAGGCCCCGTAGCAAGTCTGCGTGGCACATCCACATGCAGAGCCGGCTGGAGAAGGGGCCCCAGGGGGGAAGCCCTTTGCCGGCCCCTCCTCTCCCCCCGCCCACCGGCCGGACCCCCTCCGGCCCAAACACCAGTAGGTAATGGCTGCTCCGCTGCTCCCGCCAGGGCTGCTGGTTCGCTTGCTGGTGTGTCTCCTGCCCTGGGAAGGACCTTCAGGGCCGCTGCTGCTGCCGCTGTCCATCGCTGGTGGAGGGGGGGAGGGCAGGTGGGGGGGGGACACACCGGGCAGACTAAGCACAGCCTCTCCCCCTCCCTCCTTCCCGACAGCAACCCCGACCTTCGGAGGAGCGACCCCGGCTGGGAACGGGGAGACAGCCTGCTGCAGTCAGGGGCCGCCCACCTGCCCCAGGCCGGCTCCCTGGAGCGCAACCGCGTGGCAGGTAAGGCAAGATTTTGGGGGCGGGGTCTATCTCGGAGCCCCCCCCCCCATACATACCCCGCAAGAGCGATGGGCCCTTCTCCGGGGGTGGGATTCTCCCGGTTCGCCCCCTATTCGCTAGAACCGGTTGTTAACCTTCGAAGCAGTTGGGAGAACCGCTTGTTAGAAGAAATTTACAGGGCTAATCCTGTAAGGAAGGCAGGAAGGGAACATTCTGGTGTTGCTGACAGAAACTGCCTCTCCGTTCACCCTGATTACATTCTCGGCAGGATTAGACTTCCTGTCTCTGGAACGTCTCCGGAGTTTTTTCCCCCCCCCCTCCTTTGCTGGTAACTTTGCTTGTGTGGAGTGGACCCTTCCAAGTTACAACGGCACTCAAAAAAAAAGTGACTTATGACCCTTTTTCACCCTTACGACGGTTGCCAGCATCCCCACAGTCACGAGAGGCCAGGCGAGGAGAATGCGTGCCTCGATGGGAGGGATGTTGAGTTGGCCACGCCCCCGGGCCCATCACACGAGCCACGGCCACCCGGTCACATGACCACCTAAGCCACGCCCACCCCCTAAGCCACGCCCACAGAACCGGTTGTTTAAAAAATTGGAATCCCACCCCTGCCTTTCTCCCATCGACACCCTGGGGGCTCCTCACCCTCCGGCTGGGTTGGGAGGGGCAAAGCAAGGGGGGGAGGGTTTCTGCTTCCTACCCCCAACCTACCCCCACCCCCGGTCTCTCCTGCAGCACCCCTGAAGCTGGAGTCCTCCCCCGTCCTCTCCCAAGTCAGGAAGGCCAAGGCAGACGACCATCGCTCCCGGCCGGGACGGCCAGCAGTGAGTAGGCA